GGGGGGGGGGGCTAAAAACATTTGAGGGGGGCAAAGGACTCCCTAAAACAGGCCTAACGATACCCCTGTGTGATTTTATACTGCCGTATTTTTAGACACATTTCATGCACAGCAAATGTTATCCCACCCCACCCCCACACACACAGAACAATATTTTTCATTCAGGCCAGAGAATGTAAAAGGTTGTCTTACCAGTTGGAGAGAGGCGTCTCCAGCTGATTGTGGGCTCTGGCTTCCCATTGGCGAAGCACATCAAGGTGACATTGGAGCCTTCGTTCACCGCAATGTCATTGGACAACTTCACGATTCTCGGAGGCACTACATGGGGAAGAAAGAAATTAACTTAAGCGTGACAATGAAACTGAAATTCTAATATCTCAGCGTTCTTTGCCGTAACTGACTACTGAAATGACATAGTTGTCCCTTAAAAATCTTCCCCATCCTCTGAGTTTTAATGTAGGGACTCAGATTTCTCAAGGACTATGAGGTTTCTGAAAGGATGGCATTAGGGTGAGAAATCTGACAAGGAATCCATGGAGTATGGAGGTAGATGCAGTTTAAAAGTAGGGGAAGTCATTGAAAATGAAACATCCAAATGAAGCACAACTGACAACAAGTCCTCAGAGTCTGAAACAGGCATAACCTTTATGGAGGAAAAATCAAAGATATGTTCAAAGCGTCAGTATTGGCAGAGTGTAATTCCATCAGATATTTTTATGGGACAGTTTTTAATATATGAAAAAGCACACAAACAATGAACAGTGTTGTTTACCCTTTAAGGCAGCCACAGATAAAAAGGTAAAGTTGCAAGGTAAAGTCTCATACCTCTAGCAAAATTCAAGAATAAATCCTAATTACATGGAGCAACACAGACTAATGGAAACTAGTCAGAGAAATATGACGTGTGAAACGATGTCCATTATACAACAAATGGAAGCGAAGAGATCACTAATTTCATCGTTAAAAGGCATTGATTGAGATAATCATTCTGTGATTGACTTCCTATAAAAAGACACTTTTTCTTAATACCTAGGCGTTTCTTATCAGAAATATGCATCACATTTAGTCTTTGTGATGGCAGCTCGTCACATTTTTCCACATTCGAGTTCTTCAGAAGAGTTATTTCTAACTTTCCCTCGCCTATCCCTGTGCTTTGACACACAGGAAAGATTTTGTTCTCTCGCGGCGCCGAGCGTCTTGCATGCCCTTCCATTCAGGATGCATGTTAATGAACTGGGGCTTCATGAAAAAGTTAGGCTCCACCCATCATGACATACTGTAGCTGCAATCATACAAACAAAGCTTACCCTTCCCTGTGGTGCCCGACAGGGTCATCACTCATTCTTTAATAAACAGAATCATTCCATTTGTCAAAAATTGTATTCTGTTGCTTTCAAACTGATGTGGAATTGGGCTTCTTCGTCATTAAGATTGCAGAGATGCTGTGGTAGCTTTTTTGCAGGAAAAGTCACGCGCTATAACAACTACGGGGAAATGTAGCCAGACTTGTGCTAACACTTGTGTCGCTAATGGAGGAAACATTTGATTCTCAGTATCCCCATCGTGGACTGGCACCCCGTTCAGGGTGTAGGCCAGCCTCGTTCCCTGTGCTGCCTGGGACAGGCTCCAGGTCCCACACAGGCTGCTTTGGATAATCACTGGATGATAGATGGGTATCTGCTCCTTGCTATATAAGAATCAGAATGGGAATACAAGGTAGAATGCATGTATTTCATGTGACTTGGAATGCTCTGCCCAGAAGGTCACTGGTTTGGACCCTAGGGTCAGGAAGAGTCATTGTGCTGTTGGGCTCCTTACCAAGTGCCTTGTGCCCCACTTGGTTAAGATTAATCTATTTTTACCTGCAAAAAATATGTAGCTTTGGATAAAAGCATTGGCTAAATACTTAAGCGTGACTCTTTTCAGTAGGAATAACTTTCTATATACCTTCTGAGATTTCTAGCACCTTCTTTGATTCACTGAAGATGGACAACAAATAAAGATAAGATAAGATAAGTTTTTACGCCAGTGGACAACCAACACCTTGAAGTACCGTATTTTGGGACCTTCTTGAAGTACCAAAGGTATGGTACCTGGTGTGGTGGGAAAGCGCCGTTTAGTTGAGCAGTGAATTGGACAGCTTTACAGCACTGTACAGTACATTTTGTACATGCTATACATCTTTCTGCTATGTTCCAAGCTTCTTCTGTTACTTCAGGGTGAAAGGGTGAAAGTCTGAGTCTGATTGAATGTATACATACAGGAGTAAATCGACTCCCAATCTCATTATCTGGGTGTCTCAGTCTGACTAAGAGAAATTCGATTTAGTACCATTTCAGTCGGACTAACGTGTTTACATACACTCTAAAAGTCCGGTTTTAGCTGGACTAACACATTAATTTAATTTTTTTAGTGTGCATGTAAATGTAGTGACTGTACAGTATACAAACAACCAAGTGGCAGCTAAACTGTAAAACCTGGGATTGTACTATACAAAAAGTGATGTGCACCAAAATATGTAAACATTGGCCATGAAAAAACATCACCACGAGAGCCAACGAGAAGCCCTGGTTCACCGCAGCGGTACGTGCACGTCTGACAGAGAGAGATGCTGCTTTCCAGTCTGGGGATAAAGCTGCTCTCAGAACAGCCAGAGCCAACCTCTCTCGCACCATCCGACAAGCAAAGTGTGCACATGCACAAAAGATCTACGCACGGTTCGATGCACTGAACAACATACAAGCGATGAAAGCCACGCCCCCCACCACCGACCAGATCATCTCTCTGTCTGCAGCCGACGTGAGGAGAACTTTCATCAAGGTCAACCCACGAAAAGCTGCTGGACCAGATAACATCCCAGGTCGTGTGCTGAGAGACTGCGCTGATCAGCTGGCAGATGTCTTCACGGACATTTTCAACTCATCGCTGAGCCAGATGATCGTCCCAGCGTGCTTCAAGTCCACCACCATCATCCCAGTGCCAAAGTAATCCTCAGTATCCTGCCTGAACGACTACCGTCCCATCGCCCTGAACCCCATCATCATGAAGTGCTTCGAGAGACTCGTCATGGCACATGAGAAGAGCAACCTCCCCCGCTCACTGGATCCGCTGCAGTTTGCATATCGACAAAACAGGTCGACCGAGGATGCCATTTCCACTGCACTTCACCTCTCCCTTACCCACTTGGACAAGAAAGACACTTATGTCAGAATGCTGTTCATAGATTTCAGTTCAGCATTCAACACCATCATCCCCCAAAAACTGTCTGAGAAACTGAGCGAGTTGGGACTGAGCACCTCCCTCTGCAACTGGATACTGGATTTCTTGTCAGAGAGGCCTCAGTCCGTCCGAATCGGCGACAACATCTCCAGCGCCATCAGACTGAGCACAGGAGCTCCTCAGGTCTGTGTTCTCAGCCCACTGCTGTTCACTCTCCTGACACACGTCTGCACCGCCTTGCACAGCTCTAACCACATCATCAAGTTTGCCGACGACACGACCGTTGTGGGGCTCATCAGCAGCAACGACGAGTCGGCGTGCAGAGATGAGGTTCAGCAGCTGGCGTTCTGGTGCCGTGAGAACAACTTGTCACTGAACGTGGACAAAACCAAGGAGATGATCGTCGACTTCAGGAAGACTCTCCCCACCCACACACCTCTCAGCATCCACAGCTCCATGGTAAAGACGGTAAACAGCACCAAGTTCCTGGGAGTTCACATCTCAGACAACCTCACCTGGACCACCAACACCACCTCCATCACCAAAAAGGCCCAGCAGCGTCTCCACTTCCTGAGACGCCTGAAGCGGGCCAACCTTCCTCCTCCCATCCTCACTGTGATCTACAGGGGCACCACAGAGAGCGTTCTGACCAGCTGCATCTCCGTGTAGTTTGGTAACTGCAAGGTCGGCGATCTCAGCCAGCTACTACGGATTTTTAAAGCAGCTGCAAAGATCATCGGAGAGTCTCTCCCCCCGCTACAGGACGTATTTCGCAGGCGCTGCATCAGGAAGGCCTCCCGCATCGTGCTTGACCTCTCACACCCCTCACATGGACTCTTCTCTCCCCTCCCATCCGGCAGACGCTATCGCAGCATCGGGGCCCGATCCACCAGACCTGCTCTCCCACTGCCCCCCCGCCACACGGACCGTTAACTGACTCTACTGCACCTCACTGTCTTTGTGAGGCAGATGCTGCTCTATGAACAATCCTACACATGCTGCACTAGAACTGAACTCTGTTAATGTTTGTGTCTGTTTATGTCTCTTTGTCTTTTATACTCTTTATTTATATATTACTTATTTTATGTGACCTATCTGTTCTTTGCACTGTTTTTAAACTGGAGCCACGTCATCTCATCTCTCTGTACACTGTAATGTATATAGCAGAGATGACAATAAAGTTTACTTTGACTTTGAAGTTAGGTGGTTCAGTGTGTGGAGACATAATACAAGCAATAGTAACAACAACCATATGATTATTAACTCATCCTGCAGGGTATGGGCACAAGGCAGGGAACAAGCCAGGATGGGGTGCCAACGCATCGCAGGGCTCACTCACACACCAACCTACCACTCATGCACACCTACGGGCAATTTGGAAACTCTAATTAACCTAAGCTTGTAGTTGGACTGTGGGGAGACACTGGAGTACCTGGAGAAAAGCCCATGATGACATGGGGTGAACATGCAAACTTCACACACATGGAGCCACGGCGGAGACATGAACCCTGGTCCCAGAGGTGAGAGTCAACAGCGCTAACTGCTACACCATCATACCAATCCAAATAAAAAATAATAATTATTATAATTTTTATTATCATCCATTTTCTGAAACTGCTTATCCTGGTCAGGGTCATAGGGGAGTCATAGCCCATCCAGGAAGGCAGGGAACAAACCAGCATAACGCTAACCACAGTACCACCATGCCGCCCACATTATCATTATTGATTATGATGATGATGATGACGATGATGCAGGGAGGCTGAGGCCACCTCTGTTGTCCATGTGTACGTGTGAGTGTCCGCGGAGAGCAGTGCTGATTGCAGCAGAAACCAAAGATCTACCGACCCACTCTGTAGGGCAGCGCTAGTGGAGCAGCCTGTTGCTGAAGGAGCTGCCTAGGACACACAGGGACTCATGCAGGGGGGGAATTTTACCCATCATTCTCCTCACTCATCTCCTCTAAGGTGTTCTGGGGGCCCCCCAGCACGGATCCAGCCCTGCTGATCAGCTTGTTGACCCTCTATTTTCCGCTGCTGGTTTGTTTCTGCCCCAGCAGACAACCATGTAGAAGATGACTGATGCCACCATTGTGTCAC